GGATCTATGCCAGCTACTTAAAATTACGATGAGATTTTAAAATGAAAATTATCATGAAACAATTACACCATCATAATTCATAAAATTGACCACTAGGATGAGATCCTCACTCATTATAATATTGAACACCCAATTCGTTTCATTGGGCAATTTAAAAAAGTTGACGTGAAATTTACAGATAAGAGATTTCTTTAAATGTAAGAACACACTGCTTGAGGATGATGCATACACTCTTGGTAATAGATGCTCAACACTTTTGAAGACATACCTCTTTTCCTTCTAGAATTCTTGGGAGACTCTGGAAATTTCTTTGTTAGTCAGAGCACTTCTGGACTTAGAAAATTTCAGAAATTTCTCATAAATATTGTCACAGTATCCTTTTCCTTGTTTGTGAAAGGGATGTCCAGGTGCAAGAAGGGGATAACTCTCCAACTCCGTTTGTTGGTATAACCCGTCTGTGTTGCCATTCTGCTTGCCTGGCCAATATTGCATTGTGAAGTTGTAGGGCTGAAGGGCCAGGCTCCAGCGTAGCAAATGGGGGTTATCTCCAGCTACCCTGTTCGGCCCGATGGGTGGATTGTGGTCCGTCATTAGGGTGAAGAGACGTCTATACAGAGAGGGCTGTAATTTCTTCAATGTCCATACGAGAGTTAAACATTCTTTTTTCAAGGTGGCATAGCTGGTAACAGTTTTCGGCTGATGTATGCCACCAGGTGCTCCATTCTGTCGTCTCCCACCTGGTTTTTATAGCGCTCTCAGCCCAAACATGGAGGCATCTATGTGAACGAGAAACTTTTTAGTATGATCGGGTGCAGCCAACACAGGTGCCTCACTCCAATCCGTTTTTAGCCTTTGGAAGATGCTTTCGCACTCCGAGGACCAAACAACATGTCTAGGGAGGAACTTCTTAGTGAGGTCTGTAAGGGGTTTAACAAGGATGCTATACTCAGGGACGAATCTACTGTAAGAGCCTGCCGTCCATAGGAAAGTTAAGACCTGGGTTTTGGCACGGGGTTGGGGCCAGTTAACCACAAGCCTCTATTTTTGCTGGATCGGGACACTACTTGCCCAAACCCACTCTGTGACCAAAGTACTGTACCTCTGCCATTCCAACATAGCACTTGTCTAGTTTCAGGCTAAGCCTTGCCGAACAAATTCTCTCGAGCACCATAGAAAAGTGTTCAAGATGGGCTTTAATTTGCGGCTGTAGATCGCAATGTTGTCTAAATATTCACAGACAAAGTCCTGAAATCCTTCCAGGAGCTGGTCTGCCATTCGCTGGAATGCAGCCAGGGCATTCTTCATCCCAAATGGCATGACCTTGAATTGGTCTAGACAAAACGGGGTGATGAATGCTGACTTGGGAATGGCCTCCGGCTTGAAGGGGATCTGCCAAGGTCTATGATGGTCAAGTAATTCAGCCGTGCAGTCTAACAACTCATCTATCCTGGGCATAAGATAGGCATCAGTAACTGTCCGATCATTGAGCTTGTGGTCGTCGATACATAAGCGGGTCATACCATCCCACTTATGTACCAGGGCTATGGCTGCTGCCGGAGTGGGGCATGTCCCTGGGTCTTGACCAGGTGGACAGCTAAGGTAGTGTAACCCAGGATGGCAGAGAACATTTTGCGGTATCCCTGTAGCAGTTGGGCGGCCTCTTCCTTCTCTACTGGGCTCTGGTCTTCCCCTACAACTAACTTGTTCTACACTTCCCATGGTAGGGGTGAGCAAATCTGGTAGGGTGAGGTTTTCACTGTCTTCCAACGACGAGGCGCATACCGCCGCCACTTCCTCTTGTATCTCCTGGTATAGTCCCAGCATGTTCACATGAAAGGACTTTTAGAACCTTTCGTCTGAACATTGGGCTATGATGTAGATAGTGTCACTAATGCACTCCACTTGCCGAGATGGTTTCTGCCACACAACCTAAAGTTTGTCCTTTTTAGTGGGCCTAAGAGCTAACACTTTTTGTCCTACTTATAGAATCCTGTCCCTGGCCCTACTGTCGTACCACCATTTCTGCCGTTGCTGAGCCGCCTGCAGATTCTTCCAAATGGATTCTGTGTGCACCTGCAGACGGTCTCACAGTTCCAGAACGGGCAAACAGAGCGGGCAAAATATTAGCCTCCCAACTCAAGGAACGCAACTCACAGGTAAAGATCCCATATATCAAGGACGACACGGGCACCAAGATTAGAAACCCCAAAGCAATAGTAGACAAATTTGCCCTATTTTACGCAGGGCTATATAACCTATCTGAGGACACCACCCAACACCAACCCAGCCCCCAAGACATTACTACCTTCCTAGAGGGGGTGACTCTCCCTCGGCTCTCCAATGAACAGGCCACTGCACTGACCAACCCAATTGTAGCATCTGAGGTATCAAAGGCTCTACACGATACACCCAGACACAAAGCCCCAGGCCCAGACGGCTTCTCAACCCACTACTACAGGGTTTTTGAGGACCAGCTACTTCCCCACCTTACGGCCTTATTCAACCATATCCTAGAGTCAGGTGAGATATCCCCGGAAATGTTGGAAGCCACCATTATTACGCTCCCTAAACCAGGCAAAACTACTGATACATGCGCAAACTACCGCCCAATCTCACTCCTCAATGCTGACACAAAGTTGTTTGCCAAGACCCTTGCGAACAGAATACCCCTATACTAGCTCAATTAGTACCCCCAGAACAATCAGGGTTTGTCCCGGGGTGACAAGTGGAAGATAATACCAGACGAGCCCTTGACGTAATGGAACTAATGAATAGAGATCGATCACAGGGCTTGATAATGGCCCTAGACGCAGAGAAGGCCTTTGACAGACTCCACTGGGGTTATATGACAGAGGTCCTCCGTAGGTTCAACTTCCCGACGAAATTCCTGACCGGGCTCCTATCCCTTTACTCGTCCCCCCAAGCTACAGTCATGAACTCCGGTTTCATCTCCAGAAGATTCGCCCTAACGAATGGTACAAGGCGGGGATGCCCCCTATCCCCCCTCATTTTTATCCTGGCACTGGAGCCCCTGCTTCATAAAATCAGGATTAACCACAGCATTATAGGCGTCCCCTCCCCGATAGGCCCACAAAAAACGGCAGTGTTTGCTGACAACATCCTTCTCTTCCTAGCAAACCCTTCGGACTCCCTACCAGCCCTCCTGGACCTACTACAGGAATACAGCCAGGTCTCTTACTACAAAAACAATGTAGCAAAAACACAGGTACTCCCACTGAACATGCCCCGATCCCAACTCGCGACCCTACAAACGTTATATCCCTTTGAATGGAGGAAGGACACCATTTCCTATCTGGGCACACAACTAGCACTCTCAAAACAGCTCCTCATAAAACATAACCACGGGCGTCTCACAGCAAAAATAGAGCAGGTGCTGGAGGGCTGAGGAAACAAAAACAAACACACATTCTGGTTGGGGCGCATCAACGCCATAAGAATGATCATACTACCGCAAGTATTATTTCTATTCAGGGCCCTGCCTATTAGTTTACCAAACTTCACCCTCCGAGCATTTCAGCGACTTCTCAACGCAATAGGTCCTATTGTCCCCCCGGCCCCCACCCCTGAGCGGTGGGTGGGGGCCCTAAAAATAACAATAAGGGGGACCTATTGTCCCCCCAGGCCCCCACCCCTGAGCAGTGGGTGGGGGCCCTAAATACAAAGGGGGGGACCCTAGTCACCCCTCCCCCCAAAAAAAATTATATCCCTACCTACCCCCCTCACCCTAAAAATAATGAGGGGGGGACCTTTAACTAAAAAGCTGTAAAAAAAAAATTAGATAAAAATAACTTACCATTTGATGTTTTCTTTCTTCTACAATCTTCTTTTTTCAGCCCCAAAAAAGGCCAAATAAAAAGCCATAAGAACCGACGCAATAAAAAAAAAAACAAAAAACAAAAGAGCACAAAAAAATAATCCATCTTCACCCATGGAGGGCTCCGCGCAGACTGAGCTCTGCAGGGCGGGGGAAGGCTTATAAAGCCTTGCCACGCCCTGCAATTAGGCTAAGAACATTCTGATTGGCTGGTTTAAGCCAATCAGAGTGCTCTTTGTCATTTTACATAGCGTGGGAAAATTCAAAAGAACTTTCCCACGCTGTGTAAAATGACACAGAGCACTGTGATTGGATGGCTTGAAATCCATCCAATCATAGTGCTCTGTGTCATTTTACACAGCGTGGGAAAATTGAACTTTCACATGCTGTGTAACATGACACACAGCACTGTGATTAGATGGCTTGAAATCCATCCAATCACAGTGCTCTGTGTCATTTTACACAGCGTGGGAAAATTTAGCTTTCCCACGCTGTGTAAAATGACACAGTGCACTGTGATTGGATGGCTTGAAATCCATCCAATAACAGTGCTCTGTGTCATTTTACACAGCGTGGGAAAATTGAACTTTCCCACGCTATGTAAAATGACACAGAGCACTGTGATTGGATGGCTTGAAATCCATCCAATCACAGTGCTCTGTGTCATTTTACACAGCGTGGGAAAATTGAACTTTCCCACGCTGTGTAAAATGACACAGAGCACTGTGATTGGATGGCTTGAGGGGGAGGACAGTAGGTCCCCCCCCTCATTATCTTTATGACCCCCACCCGCCGCCCAGGGGTGGGGGCCGGGGGGAGGAGAGTAGGTCTCCTCCCCCCCCTTCAACCAGAAAGAGTCCCTGTGGGTTTTAAAATTCGCCTGCCTATTGAAGTCTATGGCGGTTCGCCAGGTTCGCCAGGTTCGCGAACATTTGCGGAAGTTCACGTTCGCGGTTCGCGAACCGAAAATTTTGTGTTCATGACATCACTACTCCTTTGCCCATACCATCTACCAAACAGCGAAATATTCACGTATTTATGCATAGAACATATAGTAGGGGCTGCCGGTAAGGAAATGACACCAACACAACCCCAAAACCACTTTGACTTGCTATGCCAAGGTCTAAAACACCCCAAAAAAAACACTCTCCCTGTGTTACCATAGGTTGCTAGACATAGACAGACCGGCCAAACAATCATACTTGCTCAAATGGGAAAGAGAGTTGAACTGCGAACTCGAGCATGAGAAGTGGATAGGGGCCATGACATTGGTTAAACGGGCGACAAGGTGCTTAGACCATGTAGAAGCAGCCTACAAGATGTGGATGCAGTGGTACTACACGCCACACAGGCTGGCCCAAATATACCCAGGGGTGCAGGATAGATGCTGGTGCTGCAGCCAACAAGTGGGAAATACGAGCCACATATTCTGGTACTGCCCGGAACTTAGCCAATACTGGCAACAAATCCAAGACATAATTAAATCCAAACTAGGAAAACAATTACCACTCAAACCTGAACACTATCTGCTCCACATGCTACCCCGAGACCTTACAGCCTACGAAGCAGCGCTGATTACCCACATCACTTTAGCAGCTAAAACGTGCATAGCCGCCCTGTGGAAAACTACGACAGTACCTGACATAAAAGCAGTACTCGCCAAAGTAAGCCTCACCCAACAGTACGAGCAGATGGCACATACAATAGGTGGCACACTAGAACACTAGAATAGAACATGGTCTAAGTGGTGATGCCTAGGTGGATACCAAGTAGTCAAACTACACCCCACCAAGCCTTAAAGCAAGAGAGCATCTCACCTCCTCCCTCCCCCGTATTTCACCCTTATCCCAGTTAACCCCCCCCCCCCACAAAATAAGGGCTTACATTGCTTTACCGAGCCTTAAAATATGAGATGATGAGCAGGGAAATCAGTTTCCAGCCCACAAGACACGAAACCAAATAAATAAATAAAACGCAAAGGTGATACATACCCAACTGTTAACCATCTGACCCGCCCCAAAGGAGAGCGGAGGATATAGGTGGGGGGCTACCCCCCCCAGGGGCCCGGTGGACACCACTTAGAGGCATGATAACACACGCCAGAGAGCGTGCCTGTCACGATTCGGGGAACCAAACACGCCAACACACACACACACACAAAGTGCCGTACCGGACCTTAGAGTGGCCGGGCTAAGCACACAAAGAATAGTCAGAAAACAAGCCGAGTAAGGGGAACCAGAAGACAGAATAACGTGAAACAAGCCGAGGTCAAAGGGTAGGAGAAAGTCACAGAGTCGGATAACAAGCCAGAGAGTACGTAACCAGAAGCACAAGTTCAGAATCAATACTAACAAGCAAAGACCACAACAGGGCGAAGAGGAACAGGAAAGGTAAGTATATAAATCCAAAGGTTAATTCTGATTGGATAATTTCCAATCAGAATTAACAATCACACGTGGGAGATATCTAAACCTCCCACTGTGATTGAGGCACTGTGCCTTTAACGCCGGGTCAGGTGACTGACCCCGGCGTTGGTTAAAGTGGGCGGTCTCCCAGCGTGCAGCGTCATGCATGCTGCCGCTGGGAGACACAGAGGAAGAGGCGGACGGCACCCGTGGGAGAGAGGGTGCCGCCCGCCGAGCACACGGCTGAAGGGGGACCGCGGACGGCTGGAGGGTGAGTGCCGCGAGCGGACTGCAACCTCCCCTCGCAGCCGCCCGCGGGACCCTGACAGTACCCCCCCTCGAAGACCGCCCAGAGGGCGGGAAGCAGAAGGCTTCAAAGGAAACCGGGCATGAAAGGAGCGGACTAAAGAGGGGGCGTGCAAATCAGAGCTCGAAACCCAAGACCGCTCCTCAGGGCCGTAACCCTTCCAATCCACCAGGTATTGCAGCCGACCCCTAGAAACACGAGAGTCGAGAAGGGCAGCTACTTCGAACACGTCACTAGAGACAGCATGAGGGGAAACGGGCCGTCCGAGAGGACGAGAGAACCGGTTACACAGCAAGGGCTTCAAAAGTGAAACGTGAAACGTGTGCGGAATACGCATGGAAGGAGGCAAGTCCAGGGAGTAGGAAACGGGGTTGACCCTACGTAACACTTTGTAGGGACCAAGAAACCTGGGAGCAAATTTCATGGAGGGGACCCTGAGACGGAGGTTCTTGGAGGACAACCACACCCTATCACCCGGAGCATAAGAAGGGGTCGCTCCCCTATGGCGATCAGCGAACTTCTTCTGAGCAGCTGCTGAACGAGACAGCGCAATATGGACCTGATCCCACGTCTTCCGTAAAGAGGCGAGGTGCTGGTCCAAGGCGGGCATTCCCTTGTCAGAGAACGCTCCGGGAAGGACAGAAGGCCGAAACCCATAAGCAACCTCAAAAGGACTTAAGCCAGTAGACGAATGAGACACCGCATTCCTGGCAAATTCAGCCCACGGAAGAAGGCGAGACCAGTCGTCCTGGTGCGCATTAGTGAAGCAGCGCAAATACAATTCCACAGACTGATTAGCACGTTCGGCTGCACCATTAGATTGCGGGTGATAGGAGGAAGTGAACGACAAGGAGACCCCCATCTCAGCACAAAAGCCCCTCCAAAACCGAGAGACAAATTGCGGGCCCCTGTCAGAAACAATATCCTGAGGTACCCCATGCAATCGGAACACTTCCTTGGCAAACACCTGGGCAAGCTGAATCGCAGAGGGTAGTTTCTTAAGTGGAATAAAGTGGGCCATTTTAGAGAACCTATCCGTCACAGTTAATATCACCGTCTGACCATCAGAAGGAGGAAGGTCTACAATAAAATCCATGGACAAGTGGGTCCATGGTTTCTTGGGTATAGATAGAGGCATCAGTAGGCCTTGGGGTCTCATATTAGGAGACTTACACTGCGTACAGACCCGACAAGCCTGAACAAAATCCACTACGTCTCGCCTGAGTGAAGGCCACCAGAACTGTTGAAGGAGGCTCTTATAAGTCTTGGTAATCCCCGGATGACCAGCAGTTTTGGCGGTGTGAAATAATGTTAATAACTTTTTTCTGTCACTTACTTTCACGTATAGTTTACCAACAGGCTTCTCCTGAGGCGCTTGGGTTTGGTATGTCTTAATATTCTCAAGGAAGGGAGATGAAACAACCAAACGGGTAGCAGCTATGATCTGAGAAGCTGGTACAATAGGTTCAGGGGTTGGGTTAACAAATTCTAAAGGTTCATACTGTCGAGAGATAGCGTCAGCTTTGGCATTACGGCAACCAGGTCTATAGGTAATAATGTATTGGAATCGCGAAAGGAATAGAGACCATCTAGCCTGTCGGGCGGACAACCTTCTAGCATCGGTTATATAGGAGAGGTTCTTATGATCTGTCAGAACCATAATTTTGTGTCTAGAACCCTCTAATAAGTACCTCCATTCCTTAAAAGCTAACACAATAGCTAATAGTTCTCTGTTCCCAACATCGTAATTCTTTTCTGGATCAGACAACCTTTTAGAAAAGAAACAACAGGGATGGAGGGGTTCGTCATACGATAACCTTTGTGATAGTACTGCTCCCACCCCCGATTCAGAAGCATCTACTTCCATAACAAAGGGAAGAGAAGGATTAGGGTGGTGTAGTACTGGAGCAGAGGCAAATGCTTTCTTGAGAGTTTCAAAGGCTTTAAGGGCTTCAGGAGTCCAAACCCTAGGGTGTAGACCTTTTTTAGTCAGCTTTGTGATAGGAGAGATAAGTGGTGAGAAGTTTTTTATAAATTTTCTATAATAGTTAGCAAAACCTATAAAACGCTGGATAGCCTTAAGTCCTTGGGGAAGTGGCCAGGACAGTATAGCTTCCAATTTAGCAGGATCCATACTAAAACCCTGTTCAGAAATTATATATCCCAGGAATTGCACAGAGGTCTGATCGAACAGACATTTTTCTAACTTACAATAAAGTCCGTTCTGTAATAATTTTTTAAGCACCATCCTAACATGTTTATGATGTGACTTCAAATCAGGAGAATATACAAGTATGTCGTCAAGGTACACCACGGCACAGACATGCAATAGATCCCTAAGGACATCGTTTATGAGATCCTGAAACACAGCAGGAGCATTACACAGTCCAAAAGGCATGACCAGGTATTCATAATGCCCACTACGCGTATTGAACGCTGTCTTCCACTCATCATTCTCCTTTATACGGATAAGGTTATAAGCTCCCCTGAGGTCTAGTTTAGTAAAGTACTTAGAACCTTTAACGCGGTCAAACAACTCAGTGATGAGGGGGATAGGGTAGGCGTTTTTAACCGTTATATTGTTCAGACCCCTGTAGTCTATACACGGCCTCAAATCGCCCTCCTTCTTTGCCACAAAAAAGAAACCAGCACCAGCAGGAGAGGAGGACCTTCTAATAAAACCTTTCCTTAAGGATTCTCGTATGTACTCCTCCATGACCTGGTTTTCTTTCTAGGGGGCATAGTGCCCGGTAAAAGGTTTATGGCACAGTCATAGTCACGATGTGGAGGTAGCTTATCTGCCTCCCTCTTTTCAAAAACCAATGCAAGATCAGCATATACAGAAGGGACAGAAACAGAGAGTGGTTTAGCCGTGGGCACGTTGAGTAAACAGACAGGACGTACCTGAGCCATACAGTCTCGTTGACAGGATTCCCCCCAGGATAGTATATCCAAGCAACCCCAATCGAGAACAGGGTTGTGTTTCACTAACCAGGGAAAACCCAGAACGATGGAAGCAGTAGGGGAGTCAATTATTTGGAAGGTTAACCTTTCCTTATGCAAAACACCTACAGACATCACTATTTCTTGGGTCTCATGGGTCACCAAAGGTTTCTCAAGTGGTCTACCATCTATGGCCTCAACGACCAAGGGTGTGGCCTTTTGGATCAAAGTTAAGGCTGCGGTTTTAGCAAAGTTCTCATCCATAAGGTTGTCTGCCGCACCTGAATCGATCAAGGCTTTGGTGGTTATGGTGGTTTTATTGACCAAAAGAGAAACCGTAATAAACGGTCTGGAGATGGACACATGAGGGGACAAAGTCATAACACCCGAGGCCGACCCCTCTCTAGGCCTTAGGTGCTGTAGTTTCCCTGTAACTTAGGGCAGGCATTACAGTGGTGCCCCCTCTTTCCACAATAAAGGCATAACCCCTCCCTTCTACGATATGCTCTTTCAGCCTCAGTTAGCCCCGTAGCACCCAATTGCATGGGTTCGGGGGTTGGTTGACTAGGAGCGGGTAGTGCTAGTAAAGCAGTAGAGGGGGGAGCAGGTAATGCCCGTGTATCCATCCGTCTTTGACTACGCCTCTCTCTAATACGGTTATCAATAAGAATGACATAATCTATGACATCATCTAGAAGAACAGGCAATTCCCTGGATGCTATTTCATCCAGTATGTAGGCGGCCAAACCCTCCTGAAAGGCTGTTACGAGGGCATCATTATTCCAAACCACTTCAGCTGCTAGCGTGCGGAATTCGATAGTATAATCCGCTACAGATCTATTACCCTGTCGTACCCTAAGCAGAGCTTTGCCAGCAGAGGCAACCCTACCGGGTTGATCAAACGTACGTTTGAAAGCTGTCAAGAACTCTACAAAGGACATAGGAGATGTATTCTCCCACATGGGGTTAGCCCATGCTAAAGCTTTCCCGGACAGGTGATTAATCAAAAAGGCAATTTTGGATCTGTCAGTGGGATAGGAACGTGGATTCATCACCAAATGGATGTCAATTT